CAAGCCTGCGCTGATCCAGATCCTCTATCTAAACCTGTTGCCTATTTTCCAAGGCTCTGCTCCTGCCCATACATGTATCTGTCTAGATACATCTTAAATGATGTTATCATGCCCGCCTCTACCACCTCTGCTGGCAACGCGTTCCAGGCACCCACCACCCTCTGCGTAAAGAACTTTCCACACATATCTCCCTTAAACTTTTCCCCTCTCACCTTGAAATCGTGACCCCTAGTAATTGAGTCCGCCACTCTGGGAAAAAGCTTCTTGCTATCCACCCTGTATTTACCTCTCATGATTTTGTAGACCTCAATCAGGTCCCCCTTCAACCTCTGTCTTTCTAATGTAAATAATCCTAATCTACTCAACCTCTCTTCATAGCTAGCACCCTCCATACCAGGCAACATCCTGGTGAACCTCCTCTGCACCGTCTCCAAAGCATCCACATCCTTTTGGTAATGTGGCGACCAGAAATGTATGCAGTATTCCAAATGTGGTCGAACCAAAATCCTATACAACTGTAACATGACCTGCCAACTCTTGTATTCAATACCCCATCCGATGAATGAAAGCATGCCGTATGCCTTCTTAACCACTCCATCGACCTGCATTGCCACCTTCAGGGTACAATGGACCTGAACACCCAGATCTCTCTGCGCATTAATTTTCCCCAGGGCTTTTCCATTTACCGTATAGTTCGCTCTTGAATTGGATCTTCCAAAATGCATCACCTCGCATTTGCCTGGATTGAACTCCATCTGCCATTTCTCTGCCCAAATCTCCAATTTATCTATATTCTGCTGCATTCTCCGACAGTCCCCTTCACTATCTGCTACTCCACCAATCTTAGTGTCATCTGCAAACTTGCTATACAGACCATCTATACCATCCTCCAGATCATTTATGTATATCACAAACAACAGTGGTCCCAACATGGATCCCTGTGCAACACCACTGGTCACAGTTCTCCATTTTGAGAAACTCCCTTCCACTACAACTCTCTGTTTCCTGTTGCCCAGCCAGTTCTCTATCCATCTAGCTAGTACACCCTGGACCCCATGCGACTTCACTTTCTCCATCAGCCTACCATGGGGAACCTTATCAAACGCCTTACTGAAGTCCTGAAGTCCAAGACATCTACAGCCCTTCTCTCATCTATCAACTTTGTCACTTCCTCAAAGAACTATCAAGTTGGTAAGACATGATCTTCCCTGCACAAAACCATGCTGCCTATCACTAATAAGCCTTCCAAATGTAAATAGATCTTATCCCTCAGTATCTTCTCCAGCAGCTTCCCCCCCACTGACATCAGGCTCACCGGTCTATAATTCCTGGATTATCCTTGCTACCCTTCTTAAACAAGGGGACAACATTAGCAATTCTCCAGTCCTCCGGAACCTCACCCGTGCTCAAGGATGCTGCAAAGATATCTATTAAGGCCGCACCTATTTCCTCTCTTGCTTCCCTCAGTAACCTGGGATAGATCCCATCCGGACCAGGGGACTTGTCCACCCTAATGCCTTTTAGAATACCCAACACTTCCCCCTCTCCTTATGCTGACTTGACCTAGAATAATCAAACATCTATCCCTAACGTCAACATCCGTCATGTCCCTCTCCTCAGTGAATACCAACGCAAAGTACTCATTAAGAATCTCACTCATTTTCTCTGACTCCTCGCTTAACTCCCCTCCTTCGTCCTTGAGTGGGCCAACCCTTTCTCTAGTTACCCTCTTGCTCCTTATGTATGAATAAAAGGCTTTGGGATTTTCCTTAACCCTGTTTGCTAAAGATATTTCATGACTCCTTTTAGCCCTCTTAATTCCTCGTTTCAGATTGGTCCTACTTTCCCGATATTCTTCCAAAGTTTCGTCTGTTTTCAGTCACCTAGACCTTATGTATGCTTCCCTTTCTATCCCTCATTTTCACAGGGACATGTCTGTCCTGCACTCAAATCAACCTCTCTTTAAAAGCCTCCCACATATCAAATGTGGATTTAGCCTCAAACAGCTGCTCCCAATCTACATTCCCCAGCTCCTGCCGAATTTTGCTATAGTTGGCCTTCCCCCAATTCAGCACTCTTCCTTTAGGACCACTCTCATCACTCCCATCACCACTCTGTCCATCAGTATTCTAAAACTTACGGAATTGTAATCACTATTCCCAAAGTAATCCCCCACTGAAACTTCAACTACCTGGCTGGGCTCATTCCCCAACACCAGGTCCAGTATGGCCCCCTCCCGAGTTGGACTATTTACATACTGCTCTAGAAAACCCTCCTGGATGCTCCTTACAAATTCTGCTCCATCTAAACCCCTAACACTAAGTGAATCCCAGTCAATGTTGGGAAAAATAAAATCTCCCATCACCACCACCCTGTTGCTCCGACATCTTTCCATACTCTGTCTACATATTTGTGCCTCTATCTCATGCTCACTGTTGGGAGGCCTGTAGTACAGCCCCAACATTGTTACCACACCCTTCCTATTTCTGAGCTCTGCCCATATTGCCTTACTGCTCGAGTCCTCCATAGTGTCCTCCTTCAGCACAGCTGTGATATCCTTTTTGACCAGTAATGCAACTCCTCCACCCCTTTTACCTCCCTCTCTATCCCGCCTGAAGCATCTATATCCTAGGATATTTAGTTGCCAATCTTGCCCTTCCCTCAACCAAGTGTCAGTAATAGAAATAACATCATACTCTCAGGTACTAATCCAAGCCCTAAGTTCATCTGCCTTACCTACTACACTTCTCGCATTAAAACAAATGCACCTCAGACCACCTGGCCTTCTGCGTTCATCATCTGCTCTCTGCCTACTCTTCCCCTTGATCACACTGACTTCACTATCTAGTTCCTTACAGGCTTTTGTTACTACCTCCTTACTGTCCATTAACTTCTTCATTTGGTTCCCATCCCCCTGCCACGCTAGTTTAAACCCTCCCCAACAGCGTTAGCAAAAGCAGCCCCAGGACATTGGTTCCAGTCCTGCCCAGGTGTAGACCGTCCGATTTGTAATAGTCCCACCTCCCCCAGAACCGGTCCCAATGTCCCAAAAATCTGAACGCTTCCCTCCTGCACCATCTCTCAAGCCACTCATTTATCCTGCCTATTCTTTCATTTCTACTCTGACTAGCATGTGGCACTGGTAGCAATCCTGAGATTACTACCTCAGAGGTCCTACTTTTTAACTTGGCTCCTACCTCCCTAAATTCTGCTTGTAGGACCTCATCCCATTTTTCATCTATATCATTGGTGCCTATATGCACCACGACAGCTGGTTGTTCACCCTCCCCCTATAGAATGTCTTGCAGTCGATCTGAGACATCCCTGACCCGTGCACCTGGGAGGCAACATACCATTCGCAAGTCTCGTTTTCGACCACAGAACCGCCTATCTACTCCCCTTACAATCGAATCCCCTATGACTGTAGCCCTTCCACTCTTTTTCCTGCCCTTCTGTACAGCAGAGCCAGCCATGGTGCCATGAACCTGGCTACTGCTGCCTTCCCCTGGTGGTCCATCTCCCCAAAAGTATCCAAAACGGTATACCTGTTTTGGAGGGAGATGACCACAGGGGACACCTGTACTGTCTTCCTGCTTTTTTCCTGCCTTTTGGTCACCAATTCCCTTTCTCCCTCAGCGATCATAATCTGCGGTGTGACCAATTTGCTGAACGTGCTATCCACGACTTCCTCAGCATCGTGGATGCTCCAAAGTGAGTCCATCCGCAGCTCCAGAGCCATCATGCGGTCTAACAAGAGCTACAGCTGGACACACTTCCTGCACGTGTAGGAGTCAGGGACATCAGCCGCGTCACTGAGCTCCCACATTGAGCAAGAGATGAGCTCCCACATTGAGCAAGAGCTCTGCTCTTTTGTTACTTTTTGATATTTTAAAGTAACAAAAGAGCAGAGCACTTTATCAAAAAGTTGCCTTCAATTGAACCTTCCCCCCAACGAATTAGTTAAAGCCATATCTCCAAGCCTCATGTCTTCCAGGTACAATGTCACTTTACCAATGTCACTGAATCAATACATCGGAGCTTCCCTCGACCCAGGTCTTTTTGTTTTTATCCACTTTTTACCTTTGATGCTTTTCTTTCTCATTTCATTTCCTGCTTCCTTCTTGATATTGACTTAAACTCCATGGCTGTATGTTGGAATTCTCTGTTGTTGCCCTCCTGATATATCTTCAAGGTGCTCCTCTCCATGCGTGATTGCCATTCCTGTAGATGTTCACAATGCCTGGCCTGAATTTGAAGTTAGCTGGAAAGCTGGGGCCAGGCAAGGATGTCCCAGGTGATTGGTGGAGGGGCTTGGTTTTGAATGGGCACTCTTCCTATCCGGTTGCTAACCAGTCTTGCTTGCCATTAGATAAAATGTCTATGGAGGTGAGAAATGGCTTCAATTGGCAACTCAAGTGGCTCAAAATAATTGTGGGTCTTTTGGGGGCTTGGATCTGCCAGTCTTCCTGTCGCTGGTAAAATGGCATGATGGCTGGAAGATGTTAAGTAACTTCTCCATCCCCTTTCTGTATCACTGTTCCAGCTTTACCACCTCACAGCCAATCTCCAAAAGGCTGGTAAAATTTGGTTTTGGATTTGCCTTATCTTGCACTCTTGTATAGGCTATGCTATTTGGAGACAAGGCAGTGCAAGCCAGATGAAGCAGCAGATGTCAAAACAATTTGAGAATCTAGGTAGTGTTACTGATTTTTATAAAGTTACAAATGCAGCAATCTAAGCTTATATGTACAAAGCTGAATTCACTGTGGAAAAGAAGCTACGTCTTGTATTTTCCACATCCAGCTACAGTTGTGTGAGCAATGCAGACACCCATCAAAGCTTGGCTCCAAGCAAACACAACAAACACCAGCTTCTACTTTGTCTGTTCCAGAGCAAGGCAGAACTTTTTTTAGGCCTAATACAATTCTAACAGATGGAAAATATTGTAGTAATAAAATCACTGAACTAGAAATACAAGAAGCATTTTCTTTGAAACTCACCACCTTGCCTCTGGAAACAGTAGCACCATTCATTGTTAGAAAGCTTTCCATCTTTAAATGTGTCACAGGAGTTGAAAAGTGGCTTAATACACTGCTCATACTTGTCAAGGTAAATGGCGCCCAGCTCTGATTGGTCCAGCAAAAGATCATAGTTCATGTCCAGCTTGTTAAATATCCAACCCAGAGAATCCTTGCAGATTGGCAGAATGCTGGTGTCAAATCCTGCAAGAGATGACTAAATCAGATTTTGTGTACAGGTCGAGAGAAATGGTGTGTTCAAAATATAGACTAACATCTGAACTCTGAGCCAATATCAGTAGTATTCTGAAATGTTTCACCTTCCCACAATGGAGTATAAAAGAACTGATGCCTAAAATAAATTAGGATCCCAGTAATTGCATATGCTCACAGAATGTGTTAGTCATTTTTTAACCAAATATTTGCATACCTTCATTGCATAGTCACCCGATATTAACTAATAAAATGAACTTTACAACTGATGTCATTTAAGCAAGCAGTAATTCCATAGTAATAATAAATTCCTCAACTTAATTAATTCTTACGTGACTATAAAATTTCAGCAAGTTTTTATCTCTTTATCCTTTAACTCTAAAATTAATCAAATCTATCCAGTTGATTATGGTTGATTAAAATTAATCAATGTAGAATAACTATGGACAATTAATATTAACATATTCATAATAATGTGTTAAAGAGACATGAGCCCTGCACAAAGTGTTCTTCAAATGCTTTATCAGGGTTTTGAACAGGTTTGTTAACTATGATTGATGCAGCTAGAACCTTGAGAAATTCATAGTCTTTAATATCTTTTGAGGTTGATCACAATGGGCTGTACATACTCTGTAACAGAATATTATTGCATTTAATCGATAATTAATTAGTTTCCACTGAGCAGTTCATTTCAAGAAATTTCTGTGCCATTTATAATAATAATAGAACAATAATAGATGTTTCTGATCTGTTGCCCAGAATTATTGATAGCGTTCTGAAAAAAATCCCAGAATATCTTTTGGTGATACAGACTCAATAGGCCAAAGGGCCTCTCTGTACTATATTATTTTGTGAAGTTTTAACATTCAAAACATTTTGTAGCAAAAATAAACAATTCATTATATAGCTATTAAATTAAGTTCACAATTACAGTACATTAAAACTCATAAAGTTGATTATAATAAATTAAAATGAAGTTTCAAAGAAATGCAGTTAAGTACTTTCCAAAAGGTTTTCCCCAGGTTGTTTTTGATTATTTTGAAAGTGCTGAGGAATATGAGCAGGCCAGATTTGGATCTGTCCTACTTTTCAGCTAATCATCACCTTAACTTCATCCGTCTGCCTTGATTCCAAATACTTTTATACAGGCAAAACCCAGTCAATCTCAGATTGGAAATGATTAATTAAGTTAGCATCTACTGAATTTTGTTGAAGAAACACTTTTAGTTTTAAGACATTGTTTCCATGGGAGGAACCTTTTGTGATTTGGGGAGGAGGAGTGGAATTAGAATTAGAATTAGAATCCCTACAGTGTGGAAACAGGCCCTTCGGCCCAACAAGTCCACACCGAACCTCAGAGCATCCCACCCAGATCCATTCCCCTATGACCCATCTAATATACACCCTCTACCTCCCTGAACACTACGGGCAATTTAGCATGGCCAATCTGCCTAACCTGCACATCTTTGGACTGTGGGAGGAAACCAGAGCACCCGGAGGAAACCCATGCAGACACGGGGAGAATGTGCAAACTCCACACAGACAGTCGCCCGAGGCTGGAATCGAACCCAGGTCCCTGGCGCTGTGAGGCAGCAGTGCTAACCACTGTGCCACCGTGTCGCACCATGTTGTTATGATGGTAGTTTCACTCATCTGTTAGCTAGAGAACTGGCAAGAGACATGTGCTACCTCTTTTTGAAAGGTTCACCAAACCACAAGTCAATCGCAACCTGACCTGAAACTGTATCACCATTCCTTCACTGTCGCTGGGTTAAAAACATAGGACTCCCATCCTAACAGCATTGTGGGTGTCCCTACCTCCAGGGACTGCAGTGGTTCAAGAAGACAGCTCATCACCGCCTTCTTTATGGAATGACAATGAATGCATCACACTCACTTCCAATGAACAAATTTTTAAAAACAGCTCTCGTACTCAATAGCATCACCATATGGGTCGTGGTGGGTGCTAGAGGTAAAGCATTGGAGTGACTAAGTAAGTGGGTAAGTAATATGGCTCATGTTTGTCAGGTAGGGGCCAGAGGAATAGGGGATGGAGAGATTGGTATCAAGGCTGGGAGAAGACTATCAGTGGGCACCTCACTTCCTGATGTCTAGTTCCTCAATCAGCCCAAGGAATTACATTACTGGGGTGACCAGCTAACTGCATGGTTGCAGCTGCTGTTTCAACTCACTTCCTTGTGACTGACCTACATGGCACTGGGTTAATCCCAGCAGCAGCAGCGGGATAAGGCCCTTGAAAAGTTTGTATTTGTCTGCTTAAGGACCTCAATTAAGAGCTGATTGGTACAGTCAATGATGGGCCTGAACTTAATTCTGGTGAGGCCAGGAAGGTTTAAGAGTTCAGATACACCACCATCTCTCCATTTACATTCCCTTCCCATCCCCGATCTCACCGCCTATGAGAACAGAAGCTTCTTCCCCTACACTGTCTCCTGAATAACTTGTCTCTGATTTTAATGTTATGTTCCTTCATCCTATACTCACTGCCCAGAGGTAAAGAGTTCTATCCATCCTATCAATTCCTTTCAAAATAGCCAACAAGATCAATTAAATCAGATCTTAATCTTCAATATTTCAGGAGTTTATGGAATCTCTCTTCATCGTCTAACCCTTTGAGCCATTATAACAATCTGATGAATCTGTCCCACATTCCATCTGGAGTTAATATATTCTGGTGCTCTAATCATTGTTGGGATGGATTTTCCCATTTCATCAATGGATCAGCGTTCAGCAAAAAAAGTGAAAAAAAAAGAAACAGGAAAATCCACTTTACTGTCTAGATTGATGTCATCCCATGTGTACATTAGACTAAGTCTAATTTTGTATAATCAATTGCAAATACCTCACATGAAGTCAGTGTTGGAGGGATGGATGGAGGCCTTGCCTGAGGATACTTGACTCTGTTCTCCTCTAATGTCAAAATCTCTTGATAATACAGACTCTTTCGTTTGGGTTTGTCCAAAGTTATTATTTACCTAGGTATTCAGGACCAGCTTTCAAGCTCTGTGGTTGACTTTCAGCTTTTCTTTATATTCAGTTTGAGATATCTTGTGGTGTGGTTTTCCATGCTCTGCTGGGTATACAGTACTGTCTCTGGTATTGGGGGTCCTTGTCACGACCAGATGACCAACCCAGTACAGCTGAGCTCCAAAGAGCATGCTCTTGATGCAAGGTCTGCGACAGCAATGGTGGAATGTTTCTAGTTGCTTAATGTGATGCCAGTAGGTGACTGCAGATGTGGTCTAACCAGGGCCATGTATAGCTGCAGCAAAACATCTTCCCTTTTAATATCCTAGCCCTTTGGTTACAGAAGCTAACATTCAATTAGAATAGAGCTTTTTTGTACTTGTCTAATACACTTCAGCCACTAAATCTCTTTGGACCTCCCCTGATCATAACTTTTTACCATTTAAACAATTCTCAGATCTATCATTTTATGGCCCAAAATGGGTACTTCTCATTCATTTCTACATAAATCTATCTGCCCAGTTTTCCTCCCTTATCTCATCTATCAATGTCTCTTTGTAATTCTGTGCCCCCTTTTACACTGGTTAATATGGCCACTGGTCCTTGTGTCTTCAGCAACCTTGATTAAATGATTATTGCTTGTATTATGTCATGAATGAATAAATATAGTGAACATTCCCAGCTTTGTTGAGAGACACTAGTCATTTCCTTTCAATTTGAGTACATACCTAACATTCTTTTTATTTGTCTTCTAGCATATAAACCGTCTTATGACCAAATCAATCACTTTCCTTCAGTTCCTTGAGCTGCAATTTTAAATAATAGTCTCCTATGTGTAGCTTGATTAAATGCTTTGTGGAAGTTTATGTGAACCATATTCCCCTGTTTATTACTGAAGTCACTCATAAATTTCAGTTAGGTTCATTAGACATGACCTAACCTTTACAATTCTATGTTTTGTCACTAAACAGATCAAATTTATCTTAATGTTCAATCACTGTGCTCAGAATTTCACATTTTGAAATCAAGGTACGACAACAAACATATCAGATGGCATCATATCTGTCATGCCCAGGATGAGTTATCTCGTGTGGTTATGTGCATTTTCATTCAGGATTTATGCAAGCATGATGTTGCATGAGTTACGTAGTGAATCATGTGGCAAATGAGTTGTAAGTACTCACCATCGGTGCTAACTTTTGGGCTTGAAGGTTTTGACTCTATATTGAAAGGAGTTTCCACTCAGCCTGTGGTGAGTGCCTCACAAAAACCAGAAATGCCAGATAAAATGTTTCTGATGGCTCCCTGGATGACTGGTGCTGTCCTGTAGATGGGATCACTGATAGAGGGGACAGCCTTTTCCAGGGTGCATCCCAACAGAACAACCAGTCTGGGCAGAGATCACAATGCAAATCAGTACCACTGGCCCCAGCAAAAGGGACAGCAAGCAATCCAGGAAATAAGAGATCATCATATCCTCCACTTTGCAAGGTAAATGTCACCATCTTCTTTGTCTACTACCTCACACACTTAGGGCTGTCACTCAGTCCAATTCTGTCACTGTACACACATCAAACAAAACGGATGGATTGCAAGCATCACATGAAGATGTCTACTCAAGTAAGCACACCCACCACATCCTGTTAAACTACTAACATTTCCTGCCCACTGTGCTTCCTACTCACTTACTGGGGATACCTCACCATCCTGGCAAGGTTATGCAAACTCACAAATTGCTCCTGCAACCAACCCCATCATACTCAATCCTTCTCTATTTAAGGTGAAGACAAACTGGCCCATAGCCAGGCTGAGAGGGCCAAGACTGGTTGGGATTCTCAGATATTAAGCTCCCCACTGTCTCTGACCCATAAATTACTCCTATTCTTCACATTTCCTATTGCAATGCACTCCCTATGCTCCAATGCCTCTTCACACTCCCCTTGTTTCAGTTGAATCTCTTTATTGCAATTGATAGTGAGAAGTCACATGACACCAGGTTGTAG